GCTAATCTACTTCACCCGTGATTATTCGGGAAAGCGAGCTCGCAATTATTCGTCCAGCCACTTTTAATCTTCCGTCGACCCATCGTGGTTCATGCGCCCACTCTCACCATGAATACCCGCCCAGTTTGAAACCCTCTGGTCTCGGCGGTGGTAATTGACCTGGCTGTCCACCTGGTAATTCACCTGACTTAGATGGACTTAGAGCGGGAAGGAAAGGGGTCTTGGCTCTCGGCTTCACTCTCTTCAAGGCGAGTGGACGCGTGGACTCCCTCTGAGGTGCCGAGAACGCCCCCCTTTCCTTCGGCGGTTCCTCTCCGGGGCAGGTGCTTGCTCTCCGCCCGCTGGGGTGTCGGAGTCATCCGGCTGCGGCGAAGGGGGTGAGTTCGCAGGGCTTCCTCGAGGGGGGGGGGGTTAGGGGCCAGGAAGGCACTGAGCTTTAGTCAACTAGGCCCAGGAGTGGAAAGCGCGATCAGCTGCTTCCTCTGATGGTGTAGACTCGGGAGGACTTCGACGGGAAGGCACGACCTTTGTCTCGGCCGGGGCAGATGTGTGCAGCGCCACCTTCCGGTCTTGCTGGATGTTGTTTGTCTTGCTACACATTGCAGCTGCTGATATTAAACGGTTTTGTACTTGATGCCACGGTCCTTGCTGTTTTAAGCTCTGTGTTTTGTTTTTCTTTTTTTCTTTTTTTTTATTCTTTTAAGTTCGTGGGATTGCGACTCTGTGGGAAAGCATTATGTAATTGTGCAGATGATGTGAAACGAATTAGCTGAGGATGTGCCTTTGAAGGTCGAGCGAACCTTTATGTAATATATGAAATTGTGTGAAAAGAATTTGATGACGGTTTAGCTTGTTTCTGTGGGGAAATTTCTTTGAAGTTAAACGAAAAAATAAGGAAACGTGTGGCTTTTTTGTTTCTGTCAATATCGTACTTTTCTTTTTTCAGTTCTGTAATGTTTTTATTTTTGTCTTTCATGTATTGCATTCAGTTCTTTTAATTTGCTGTTTTATTCATTTATACGTACCATATCGTTTAATTTAGTCCATCATTTGGACAGGTATACCCTGGAACACTTTCTTTATGGATTATCATTATTATAATTTGGATTCGAACACAGGTTGTAGGATCATCGACGGTCGTGCCTTGGTCAGTTCCTACAACCTTATGTTTTAACTAATCACGATTCGAATTATGTCCCGAAGATGGCTGTTATGACCTCTTTTGTAAGGATTTGTTATTTGTTTTTATTTTTATTCTTTTTTTTTAGACATTTTAAAGCTTCTGCGAAATTAATATCCACGCAAAAAAATAATGAAGGTTGTGATAAATCGTTTGATGATAATTATGAAACGATTAGAGTAATAGAGGAAAATTTGATAAGAAAAATAGGAAAAACTTGAGACCGAGGTGACTCAGCTGATCCTTAATTGACATGACTAATTACTCACGCATCTTAATGTAACTGACATGATGAATTACTCTTCATGTACCGTCTTACAGCTCACATAGGTACACGTCAGCCTACAACAAGCTGTAATTATTATGGGTGCGAATTATTAACAACATTATTAATTGCACTCATTGTATTAATTGTATTCATTATGGATACGAATTATTAACAATAAACATATATTAATTATTTCCATTATGGGTACGAATTATTAACAAACATATTATTTATACTCTGAATTTTGTTCTCTTCGAGTTTTTTTTTATCATCAGTTTTTCACAATGTCACGCAAGGGAGTCTTGATAATAAGAAACATAAAAGTTTGATAATATGTTGATGGTTATTTGAGTTTGGTGGGTTGGAGGTAATTCTGACTGGTTGCCATGGAAACGGAAGCAGTGGAGTTCTTGTGATTCTCATGGTGATTATTGTTATTATCCTCCTCCTCCTGCTCCTCCTCCTCATCATCATCATCACCATTATTCGTATTATCATCGTTGTTATGATTTATATTAATAATATTAGTATTGTTATTTTTTATATAAAATTATATATATGCACTTGCATAAACGTTATGTCATATATGTTATGTATAATATATATTATATGTTTATCATATATCATATTATATATCATATATATCATATATCATATATCATATATCATATTATATATCATATATATCATATATCATATATCATATTATATATCACATATATTGCATTATGGATTATATATCATTTTGTATATGTTATGTTAAAAATTGTATATTATATATAATATATATAATATGATTGCTATTGTTAACATCATTGTTATGATTGATAGTATTATTATTGTTCTTTTATCATTATTATCCTCGTCATCTCACCATCATTATATGTATTGTTACAGCACATGTTTTATTTACTGCATTGCGCTCTATGTAAGTGAGAGGAACCGTGCGCTCAAGTTGTCGGTTGTGAAGTACAGGTGTTTGTCAAAAGGTAGACGTTTTAAGTCGCTGTGGTAACGTTGGGCTGATTTAAATTTATTGAATATTGGGATGATAATGAGATTTGTGACATAGCAACGATTGTGTTGATATTGCTACATGCATTGATGTGTAATGGTAATGGTGATTGAATGATAATGATCGGGATACGACCACTGCTGTAACGCTAGCAACGGGGATGTTGATAGTGGTAATAATAATGGCCAGGCTTAAAAAAAAGATTATGACAATATTAATAATAGGATTAATAATAATAATGATCATAATAATGGTGATAGTAATAATGATTATGCTGATCATAACAATGAGTATACACAGATAAAAAAAGGAAAAAAGAAAGAAGATAAGACATGGGTCGACTATTTTTTTGCTTTTTGTTTAGAAAGCGGAGCCAAGTTTAAATCTTGGCGGCCATATTGGGTGCACCGAGAGCAAACAGCTGTGAATGTGAATTGCAAAGGACCGTTTATTTTTGAAACTATCTAGATAATAAACAGCGCCTTGCCTCTGTCTGGGAGAGAAGTGAAGTAAAACTAAATAGACTTAGCTTTCAGAGACGAGAGAATCTCTGCATTGATTGGGTTCGAGTAAAAAGCCAATTTGTGGTCATGTATCACTTCGTGTGGATAGATGGCATGAGCTCGACGATTGATGGGGTGGGAAAATGTTCCTGTTGTATTGGCGTGAAAATTTATGAAAGGATAGAGTATTCTTAATTTTCTATCTCCAGTGTCGCGTTTTTCCGGTTAAATTCAATGTCTTGGAATGTCTCAAGTGCAGCCATTTGATTTTCAACCCAGAGACATGTTTAATATGTCATTAACTATGTATTTTACGTACACTCAACAATAAATGAAAGACAGTTTAAGCCTTTCGGTTCAAGAATGTCAAGGGTAAAGGAACTTAAAACATTTATAATTCTTTGGCTGTTTAGTTCCAAAAGCAATCTTTTTTAAAATTGTTTTTGCTCAGTAGCATATATTTCAACAAGCCATTGCTTTTCATGCTAAGGATTTGACGGGAATCTATTTGGGAAATAATAGATAAAATAAAGATAGGTTTACTTTTTTTTTCGTGCAGGTAAACACAAAACTCCAACTATACTAACCTGGTTTATAGAACCTGAGTTAATCTCCTAACATGATCATCGGACAGCTATCATAGTTAGAAATAATAATCGTCTGGAAACCAATAAAGGCATTTCAGGAAACAAATGATTTGCAAAGGAGAAAATTATTTTGAGTTCCAATATGCTATTATACCTCCTCCATTCATCGAGGGGGCCTACCTAGTTGATTACACGGTAGAGCAACCTAATTCATCGCCTGGTAAAGTCTTTATCTTTAGTAATATTTGGGTATGGAAGATGTTTTTGCTGCCTCAGAGCAACGCCTCTTCTTATCATGACAGCGGCAAAAAATTTGCAAGGATGAATAGAGTAGTAGATGAATAGATGGATGAATAGAATAGATATAGATATAGGATGAATAGAGTATATATAGATATGATAGATAGATAGATCGAGTATAGATATAGATATAGGGATGAATAGAGTAGTAGCAGTCATAAGAGTTGCAGTAGCCATAAGAGTTGCAAGGATGAATAGAGTAGTAGCAGTCATAAAAGGCCGTATCCCACTCCGGTAAAACAGGTGATGGAGAATCTGCTCTTGAAAAGTCCTTGGAAATTTTGGTTTTATCGCCGCTCCATCTCCATCACTTTCTTCACTGTCGCTTCGAACGATTTCCGATTCTTTACCGTATTTCCTTCTCTTGCTGCACCTAAAGGCATTGAGTTCCCAGCTTGGCCATGAGAGCACGTGTGCATGGCGAGCGTCCAATATGGCGCCGGTTAAATGAAAGTGGATGCATTTTTGTTAACCATAAAACAGTGGGTCTTTTTTTTTTTTTTTTTTTTTTTTTTTTTTTTTTTTAAGATCAGTTTTTTTTTTTTTTTTTTTTTTTTTTTTTTTTTTTTTTTTAGATCAGTGTGATAATAATAATGATAACGATAATAACAAAAGGATAAACGAAGAGATTCTTTGACCAAACAGAAGTGCACTTTCGGTTTCGTCGATGACATTCGGTGTTTATTCCTGGCCATCTGAGCGGCGCTCACCATTGGGAAATTCTGGTTACCGGTTTCGGGTGCTCTTTAACTCGTCACCCATCTGCCTTTTAAGGTTGGGAGGAAGGTGATTTACTATTTTAGATATTTAGGGAACTTTTTATGGTAATCTTAATTGTTATTGTTTTTTTATTACCACCATCATCATTACCGTTGTCACCATTATAATAATTCATTAATCATCGCTATTATCGTTGTTGTAATCACCACCCCCATGTCTGCCACCTACCTTTTTGAGCTGAAATTCTGGTTGAGGCACTGGTATTCTAGTCTTGTATATTTCAGATGGTGATTTCTAGTCTTGTATGTTTCTGCTATGATAAAAATACCGACCATTAAAACTTTTGCTTGATTTTCGTGTTTTAGTGTATGTATTATTTCTTGGTTGCTTTTTCGTCACTGGTTAAAGATTTTCATTTGCATTGCAGATTGTGGCTTTCCAGTGACGTCAGTTCCTTGTCCCCCCGCGCATCACATTGATAAAATTGAAGGGAGCTACATGAGAGAGGCACTGTGCAAGGGCATCTCAGGAGCTATGGCGGCAGTGCCATCGCATAAAGTCCCCATGTTAGGGCATTTGGTGGCCCCCTTGCCGTGAAGGGGATTCCGTGGCACACCATGGGTGAGACGATCCTCCGAGTCGCCAGAAACGAAGAAAGCGCAATGGATGAGAAGGCTAGCTTAGAGACGACGCCAAAGGAACACCAGAGACCAGCAGAAATGCTCGACCCTGTTATCAGGAACGGGCAGGTGTCGGTAGGTCCTCCACCCATGCCGGAACTGAGAGCATTTGTGAAGGTTCCACGACAGCCCACGTCCACCATTGTGATTCCACCGCAGCTGATGGCCCCGGCATTGGCACACGGCCTCCTTCAAAAGGCACCTGTCCCCAAGAGCCAGACCTCGTCAGTAGGGGCAAGTGGGCTGGGTGATACTAACAGGGTAGTTACATGTGCACCAAGACTCATGTCAGCCATCCTACAAACAAACCACCACAGACCTGCGATACTTTCTGCGCCCTCAGCTCAATCTCAGATCATTCAGGCTCCTAAACCAATTCCTGCTGCTGCCAAAGAGGTGAAATCCCCTTTGCTCATTCCGAGGGATGAAGCAATGTCTCTCATTATTCAGAGGGACCCGGTATCATCTGTGGTTACAACGGAGGAATCAGGATCTGTGATACTAAAAAGTAGCCAGCCAGCTTCTGTGATTATCCAAGGGGATCAAGTACCTTCTGTGGTGTCCCTTAGGGACCAAGCACCATCTGTGATTGTTCAAGGGGATCCAACACCCCTAGTTACCCAGAGAATTAAGGCAGCCTGTCCAGTTGTACAGAGAAATTTGACATCCATGTTATTACCCGAGAATATCAGAGGGTTCTATGGAGTTCCTCAGACTCAGAATCCATCCTCACTAGTTGGTCAGAAGCATCAGACGACTGTGATGGTTGCGCACTGCCGACAAGTGACCCCAACTAGCCCCACCATGCCTATGACCCAGGCCATGTCCCATCATTTTCCACTTGAATCTCAGTACCAGACCAATCTCCTATCTCAGAATCAGACGAAGATACAACCTCAAAAAGAACTATTGCCTGCAAAATCTCAGCCCGTGGTCCAGACTCAGATGCAACTGCAATCACAACCTGCAATACAATCCCATGCTCAGGGACAGTCTATACCTCAGACCCATCCAAAAATCATAATCAAATTTGATCCCCAGAAATATCCTGAGTCCCGGATTCAGCCCCAGTCGCAACCCCAGGTAGAACCCAAACTGATCCCCCGAATACCAAGCAGTGCCCAACTTCAGCTGCAGTTACAGACCCTGCCCTCAGCTCCTTCTCACTCTCAGACCCAACCCCCGTCCAAACCATCTAAAGACCAACTTCAGGCTTGTGATCAGTCACAGCCTCAGCTAGAGAAGGCACCCCAAGTTTGTCCACAATCTTCAACGATATCTGGGATCAAACCTGAGGATACACTTCCTTTTCCTCAAATAAACACCACTTCACTTCTGAAGAAAGTTTCACAGCAGTTGTGCACGAAGGAAGCACAAGGACGGAATGGAAGTCTGGTAGACGGATCTGAAACTCAGTGCCATGTCATTCATAGTTCCAAGTTAGATAGGGCAGCTGTAGAGCTCGAACCAGAGAAGAAGGAAATTAATCCTGTAGCACTTGGAACTCCTGTACCTGACAACATACTCTACAATGGGATACCGAAGGCAGTGGAGCCAGCTATAGTGAGGGGCCCTAGATCGAAACAGAGCTTCATAAAAAGAACCCCTCAGAGTAAAAAATGGCCTTACATAGGTGCTTCAGATAAGGAAACAGAACAGTTAAATAAGGAATCTATACGAGGTGTAAAGAGAAAACGAGTGCAAGTGGCTCATGAAGTATGTGGGGAGACAGTGTATTTAGGTGTACCAGTGATAAAGCTGAATCGTCTGTGTGGGAGGGACCTTAGGAAATTCAGGGACATTGAGAACTTGGGCATCAGCATAGAGTCAGCAAGGTCGGTGCGCAAGGAACTGAACCGCTATCAGAAAAACAGGAGGCGGAGACTGCTCAAGAAACTGAGGAAACTGGGTCTGTGCCCACAGGCCAAAAGGAGAAAATTGCCCTCTGAAGACTTTGCTAAAAGACAGGACCTAGAAAGTGACGAGATCATACAAACTAAAAAAGTGAGGGAATCTATAAGTGATGACATATTGCACGACTATCCAAAATCTGCAAAGAAGAGGAAGACCAGGGAATTATCCGCTGTCACCAGTCCTCCAAATGGCACCATCAAAGGTAAGACATGTTTTAATGTTTATTTTTTTATTATTTATTTAATGTTTATTTACAATTTGTACTCCAGGATCTTTAACAGCAGGTAAGTGTGTCGAGGTAAGTGTAAGATTCACTGAACACATTGTAACAATTCTGTTTACAAGGATCGTAGCTTTAAAGCACGAAGATCTGTTAATACATTAATCCACATAACCAACTGGCGAAATACGTGTTTCATATGGTCTCTGAATTAACTGTGCCAACACGGCAGATGAATACTTAACTGATAGCATTGTTAATTGTGTCCAGGGACTCTTAATATCATGTCAGAGAATTTCGACAAAATACTGTAGTTTTCTCTGTGTGCTTGGTAGTAATTGCATTTGTATTAATGAATGTCAATGCGGCGCATGATCCTGTTTATTTTCTTTTCTTTGTTCATACGAGTGTTCAGTGATCACGTGATCTTCCTTGCACAATTTCTTATGAGGAGGGAGACCCAAAGCATTGTGATTCTGCCGTGGTATTCTTTCTGGCATAAACACTTCCAATAGACTTGCAGTTTCTTTTAAGTGAGAAAACTTGGCTCACAAGGAAGAAAACCTTGGTAATTAGCAATAACTACCTGAATTCGAGAAAAATGAATCCCTGTTTCAAAAAGATACCCTATTTTGCATCGATGGAACTTATCCTCCGTGAGAAAGGGATCTCGTTTCAAAGAAAACGTTTCCAAATATAATCTTGTTCAGCTTTGCTTCCCTTTGGCTAAACTAATAGATATAGAATACCCATGACAGCTTAGTGCGGAATATTAAGAAAAGCAAAATCACGCTCTTTTGCAAAAATGAATTGAACCATTCCATCCCTGATATATTTCGCCCAATTGCTTTCATAAGCGTTTCATGTCGGTCTGTTTGCATTCAAGGAAATCTTGTACAGTTATTTAGAATTATATCGAGAGCTATTTATACTGTGTAATATTTGACCAGTAGGAATGCTAAAGGAGAGATATCCTGGTCTTCTTGTGATTTAGTTAGAGAAAAGTTTTTTTTTATATAGAAAAAAAATGGCAGTAGAATCCATTTGAAGAATAGGTCTTTCGATGTTTGATGTTAGTGTAGGTAATAGTTTTAGAATCAATTAGATTAGTTCCTTCCCCGTTGGATATCAGGGACTATTACTATTCGAATGGAAACGGAAAATAGTTCACTGACCCTTCGATATCACTGCAGATCACTGTACTTTGGGGATTGGTTCTAGGGGGTTTGGTGTTAGTGCGCATTTCAGTACTTAGATTAATTAGAAGAGAAATATGGGGAGTTTCGAAATTGGATGCAGCTTGAATCCAATGGATTTTTATTTATTTATTTTAGTTCAGATTCGATTGTTTACACGTGCATTTATAAACGGAGGATGTGAGTTGTATATTGCATGTTTGTTAATTATATTAACTATTTACATGAGCATTATCTTCGTCATTGTCATCATCATCATAGTCATCATCGTTATCGTCGTCATCATCGTCATCATCGTCATCGCCATCATTATCATTATCATCATCATCATTATCTCAATCTCAATAATATTTCTGTTCCACCTATTTTTTGCTTGGTTGTCAGTCGAAGAAGAAGAAGAAGAAGAGAAGAAAAGAAGAAGAGAAGAAGAAGAAGAAGAAGAAGAAGAAGAAGAAGAAGAAAAAAAAAGGAGGTGATGACTCTCTTGGTCTAGGTCTTGTTCCATTTTGTCTCGAACCATGTTTCTGAATGATGTACAATCGGCCATGTTGCATATTGCATCGGCCTGGTCTGGGAAGAGGTCATGTGCTAGATAGGGAGGTCCGTGCTGGCTCGTGCTTTTTTTTTTTGTGTTTTTTATGTGTGTGTGTGTGTGTGTGTGTGTGTGTGTGTGTGTGTGAGTATGTATGTATGAATGTATGTATATAAATATTGATAGATATTTATATATATATAAATATATGTATATATATATATATATATATATATATATATATATATATATATATATATATATATATATATATATATATATATTAGAGCGACTGTGTTTTTTCTGTGTCTTCTCCCATCATCTCACCCTTTTCCCATCCCCCTACCTCGTCGTCTCTCTCTCTCTCTCTCTCTCTCTCTCTCTCTCTCTCTCTCTCTCTCTCTCCTCTCTCTCTCTCTCTCTCTCTCTCTCTCTCTCTCTCTCTCTCTCTCTCTCTTTCTCTCTCATAAATAAACAAGGGACCTTATATTATGTAATGTTAAATGTCAACTCCCCCCCCCCCCCCCATACGCCCCCACGTCCACATGCCGCATCTGCTTCGTGAATCTCTGTACAGCCACTAGTTCTCTTCTTGGTCTCTCTTCTCTCTCTCTCTCTCTCTCTCTCTCTCTCTCTCTCTCTCTCTCTCTCTCTCTCTCTCTCTCTCTCTCTCTCTCTCTTCTCTCTCTCTCCCTCTTTCCCTCTCTTCCCTCTCTCTCTCTCTCTCTCTCTCTCTCTCTCTCTCTCTCTCTCTCTCTCTCTCTCTCTCTCTCTCTCTCTCTCTCTCTCTCTCTCTCTCTCTCTCTCCCTCTCCCTCTCTCCCTCTCCCTCTCCCTCTCTCCCTCTCCCTCTCCCTCTCTCTCTCTCTCTCCTCTCTCTCTCTCTCTCTCTCTCTCTCTCTCTCTCTCTCTCTCTCTCTCTCTCTCTCTCTCTCTCTCTCTCTCTCTCTCTCTCTCTCTCTCTCTCTCTCTCTGCTGCTGCTGCTGCTGCTGTGCTGTGCTGTGCTGTGCTGTGCTGTGCTGTGCTGGCGCAGCGGTAAGGTGCTGGTCTAGCAATCTTGCGGACCTGCGTTCAATCCCACGCCCGGCCAGTGAGTGGTAACCCCGGCCACTCCTTGCACACAGGGGGAGATTTAGGCAAAATAAAACAGACAGTATGTCACAGCAAAGAATATCCATTGTAACAAATGGAATTAAAACTAAATCTTTGAAATCTTTGAAAAAAAAAAAAAATCTCTCTCTCTCTCTCTCTCTCTCTCTCTCTCTCTCTCTCTCTCTCTCTCTCTCTCTCTCTCTCTCTCTCTCTCTCTCTCTCTCTCTCTCTCTCTCTCTTCCCCTGGGGCGTCATTTCAGTTTTTTCTTGGGTGGGGTTGGGGGGGGGAGGCGAAGCGAGCACAATCGAAGATTTTTTGAGTGTTCTATTTAGGGACATTTTATAATTCTAACCAGATCTGTATACGTGTAATTTAGGGGAAAAGATCAAGAAACTTATCCCTTGCCCTTATTGAGGGGGGTAAACCAGACCCCCTGGGAGCAAACGGGCTACGGGGAGGCACATGTACCCCCCTCCCCCCCCATTTGATGTCCCAGAGAACTAAGAAAGTAGGGAAACCTTGGGAACCTTGGGAAATTATTTTATCACTGTACAAATTAAAAGTACAATTAAAATCTTAATTAATAGATATTCAAATTAATTGCTCTTTGATATAGATATGTAATTTAATAAAGGCAGCCTTGTTTAATAACACTTTGAAATTAGTTCAAGTAAACAGTTCTTTATATCTTTAATATGCAGAGGACTGAAGTGTAGAAATGATACGCAAGCCATAACGAAACGATACAATTTATTCAAAAATTTATAATTTATTTAATTTATTTAATTTATTTAAAAAATATATATATAATTTATATAATTTATTATTAAAAAAATGTAAAGTGAACTGTAGTGTAACACATCATGGAACAAGGAATTGAACAAGAATCACAACATGAAGAAAGTAACACGGTTGCACTGTTGAAATGCTTCGAGAACAGCACCGTCAGAGGGGCGCCTCACACACGCACCACGGCTCCTCGTCCTCCGCCAGCCAAGCAGTCCCTGGCCACCTGGCGGAGACGCGCATGCACTAGCGTTGCCGTGCGTAGGCCTAGTGATTGTCAGCGGTTGTAATTACAGTGATCAGCAATACAGCGGTGTTTTTATACGTTTATCACGTAAATGGTAGAACGTTTGTTATTGTTTTGAAGATTATGAATAGTTAAATAAAATATATAGGCCGTGTCAACACTGTGGCCATACAGGAGGGCAGGTGGCTAACAAGCACTCCTCTCAGTAATTGCCAAATGTGCGCCACTTGGAGCAAGGATTACTAATTTTCTATGCAATACACTATGCAAGAATAGCATAACAATGAGAAACGTAGAAATCTTGGTAGCTTGGGAAATTCTAGATATAGAAACCTTTTGCTTGTGGTACAGCGGTAGCTTTCTCGTCTGGCAATCTTGCTGACTCGCGTTCGAATCCCGCACGATGCCAGTGGATAGTAACACCGGCCATTCCTTGCACACAGAGGTAATCCAGAAGCAAAATAAACAGACAGAATGTCACAACAAAGAATATCCATGGAAGCTATTGGAATTAAACAAAATAAAAGATTAATTGTAATTATAATTGTGAGCTTGATAACTGCTGTGGAAAAAGAGAGTCCACAACCTTCTTATATATGTTTGAATGAGATCGATGAGCTGTAAAGGCAATGATTATGATGAAGTCGATGATATGTCGAAATCGAAGAGATATAAAGGTAACGTTTACAGTAAAATCAATAAGATTCCCGTCAAATTTATGGGATTTAAAATCATTGTTTACAGTTATATCGAGGAGGTATGAAATTAGCGTTTACTGTGAAATTAAACATTTAAAGACAATGTTTACAGAGGTATCGAGGAGATATGAAATCAGCGTTTACTGTGAAATCAAGGAGATTTAAAGACAATGTTTACAGTGAAAGCGAGGAGATATAAAGGCAGTGTTTGGAGAGAGAGAAAGGCGAAAGATACAGTGTAGGTTAATCCCCCTCTTTCTCTCTCCTTGGTAAGTGGTGTGAACTCTCTACCCTCGATAATCTCCCATTAACTCAAGAGGAGGAACTCTCTTCAGTTGGAACGAGAATGGTATTGACCCGGCAATGTAGCCTCAAGGAGATAAAGCTGGTTTTTCCCTTGGTAATTGACGTATTTTTGCCTTTTATAAGTGACGGATTTTTCTCCTTTATATGTTGTAATTTTGTCATTATATATGATCTGTTTTTCCCTTGATATTTTAGGCATTTATAGTTGATGTATAGTTTTATATGTGACGGATTTTTCTCCTTTATATGTTATAATTTTGTCATTATATATCTGTTTTTTCCTTTGATATCTTAGGGATTTTTCCTTTTATAGCTGATGTATAGTTCCCTTCGTATTCGACGTAGGTGTGCCTTCCTATCTGATGTAATTTGCAGCTGTTTAGATCAGGTCAGTCCACTCTACCTGGGGATGATGGAATTGCAGGTGACACCTTCCGCCTCCTTTCTAAGTTATTG